TGTCCTGGCTGGAATCCTGCTACGTGACTTATTTCCTGATCCTGATGTAGTGTGCTCTTATCTGAGATGTGAACAGGAGGAAGCTGTCAAATGGTTCCTGGATTGGTTGGTTCTTAGTCTGGAAGGAGTTGAGTTTCATGCTGATGCGGAATCCAGAGCTGAGACAAGGGAGGAATTGCTATATTCGTTGAGGTTTTGTGATGCTAGAGATAAGTTATGTCCATCTCCTCCTAAATATATAGTACTCTGGACGAGATTGCTTGGATCATGGCCATCTATAACTCATGGGGGATGTAGATTCTTAATACAGTGTAGGGAGTGGTTTATGGTTCAAATTAGAGCCCTGGCAAGAGCAAATATACAAAGGATGGATGGCCGAGTTCTGCGAGTTCCTAATGAAGCGGATCTGGAGTATGCTAGGTTCGGTTTAACCTCTGAGCAGATTGGGTTTCAATCCTGGACTGAGCCTGTTCCTGGAGTCAGAGGGTTTGCTAGACCGGAGTCCATTTCTATTCCGTTGATAGAGTTTGATCCTAGAACTACCTTTAGCACTGATATAGGTCGGCTCTGTACTCAGATTGGGAGATTCCAGAGATGGACTATCTTGGAGTGGGGAAGGATGAATCCTTTCTTGTTAAAATCCTTCTTCTGCAGGATGATAAAGAATTCCGGGTTCAGGATTTTCTACAAATCTCTCTATGATGCTTTAAGGTTGCTGTTCCTGAGAATCTTTTGTGAGTCAGCTCCGGAGGTGACCAGGTTGGAGAAGGAGTTGAATGATGGGGTTGAGAAGGTTTACCAGGAGGAGAAAGCAGCGCTGGAGAGAGTCGAGATTGAGGTTGCAAATCGAAGAGAGAGGGTTTCCTACATGGAGGAGGTCAGAATAGACTGGAGAATGAAGGAGAGAACTCGATGGAGAGAAGGAATCCCTCAGTTACCTGTCTGGAAGCGGAGAAAGGGTACAACAGGAAAGAAACGAGCTAGGTCTCAGTCTAGATCTAGGTCAGTTAAACCGGAGAAAAGGATAAAACTGAGTAAGAAGGCAAGGAAATCCTCGGTTCTGGTTCCCGTGCAGCCTGCTCTTAAGGGAGTCAGGAGTGTAGTTGGGAGCTGTTCTGAGGACAAGGTTTCAGGGGGAGAGAAGGCTGATGGGGCTGTTGGAGAAGGGAGTGGAGGAAGCATTGAGAGTTCTAATGCTGAACCTACAAAGGTGATGAAACCTGTTAGAGAGGGTTCAGTTCTGGACGATTATTTGATGGAGCCTGAGACAACTGGAACTGGTGAGGCGGGTGGAGATGGGATCGAAGAGAATCTGGCTGGTTCTGGATCTCGTGTTCTACTCACTACCCGGAGAAGGAGATCTAGGTCTAGATCTGCGAGTAGGAGTTCTGCTCCAGCCAGGGTGTTGACCCATGATGAAGTATGTGAGGGTCTCAGGAGAGTAATAGAGGAAGATGAACCTATTGGACTGAATGGGGAGGAGATAATTTTCGAAATCCCTCCTGAGCTTGAACAGTATGATTTTGATCTTTGAAATAAATGAACTTTACCAGTGATTTTATAGATTAAATATTTCTTATTTTTTATCATGGTGTTTTATTTCATGGGATGAATTGTGCTGGTTACTGGATCATGATTGTTTGGTCTGGGATCTCATTAGTCAATTTTTTCTTTTTGGTTCTTTTTTGCTTTCAGCGTTGCCCGGGAGTGTTTTGCGCCCCTGACGCATGAGTAGTGGATGTGACAGTATATACTGCACACGAAAATTGATAACCGGTTTTGTTTAGTCTGTATAGGCAGCCTCCTGGTTTTTGTACTTTCCTCAGTGTCTGGAGATCTCTCTAACTGAAAGCATATACGTAGTTTTATATATTGTTTTTGCACGTGTGAAGAAAAGACCGCTAATTATTGAAAAAGTCTCTTATTTTCAGAATTTAATAGTTTATGACTGGTTTTTAATATATCCTAGAGATTTTGCAAGACACGTTGAGGTTAGTACAATGTTAGGGATTACCTTTTGTAAATACGGCAGTTTTAGTATTAGTACGATTTGAGAATATTATTTTAGTTGATTATTTATGATTTTAAAGAAGACTGATTTGATGTTTATTTCCGATTTTATCCATATACGGAGTGACTCTTTTTCTACCAATGATTTTGTACATATATTGCTTTATTCAATTTATTTATTTTTTCTGGAATCTTAATAGCCTTTTTTTTTATCTCTGCAGATTGAACTACTTAACCTGTGCTGTTCCAGAGAGATAATGACGGAAAAACACAGGGGTTACATCCGGCCTTGCAAAATCGTCTCTAGGTAATTTTTGAATTGATTTGTTAAGGGCGAAGCTTCGGCGTTGCTCAACAATTATTAACTACATTCAAATCATTATTTTCTGCAATCCTAGGAGCTGACGACCGTCCGTCATTGCAACTCCCTAGGGAAAAACCGCCTCTGGAACTAGTTTCTTCAGAACTATCTGCACTGCTGCCAAAGATTTGGCCATATCAGCCATTTGTCCGCCTCCATATCCGCCATTCTCTCTCCTTCCCTGGTTTCTCGGTTCTCCTCTACATTCCCGTGAAATATGACCCTCTTTCCCGCAGTTGTAACACAAAATTGAGGGGTGGGAATTAGCCTGATGAGTGTCACTTCCGTACTTCCTGTTAGGATTCTTCCTCTTCCATTCATCAAACTTCCTGCAATCCCTCTTCTGGTGACCAGGTTTCTTGCAAACATAACACACATCTCTGCCCTTTAGGGCATTTATCCCGCTCTCAGCATCCAATTCTTCAGCATCTGACACGTCCTCCACCAGCCCTGGCATGGCGTTGACGTCCATGGGCACCTGTCCCGTCTTCAACATCTCGTTGGCCTTGTTCATCTCGCTCATATCATACCCATAGGTGCTCTGTAAGCCTGCCATATCCTGAGCTGGGGCCCTGGGGTCCATATTATAAGTCCTCAGGTTTACTAGTTGGTGGTCCAGAACTGCTTTAATCTCCCGTTCATGCTTAATATCTTTAGGCATAAACATCAAGCAAGTTTTCCTCAGTTCAGCGTTGTAAAATCCTACCACCATATTAGTCTTGAACTCGACTAAACTCCTCCTGGCTGGGGGTAGGCTTGCACAAATAACCGTAGCTTGTCCGTGTAATACTGACGAGCATCTTCATTTCTCGCCTGTCTCCTCTGCAAATATTCCATCTTCCTGCCCTCCTCATCCTTCTCATGAGTGAACTTCTTTAATAACTCTTGGAAGAAATCACCAATTTCGTAATTGTCGATAGCTAGTCCATCAGGTTTAAACAATACTATCTCGGACTGTGCTTTTCCCGTGATACAGTCTAGCAGCATCCTTTTGATGGCCTCATTATAGGTATCGTTTCACATTCAAATCTTGACAAATGCTTCTCTAATTCACCACACCAGTCAAACACTTAACTAGGGTTACCATCGTAGGTTGGGGCTCTGCAGCTAAAATCCAACAACCTCTTCTTATACTCCGCCTCCGCCCTGCTCAGATCTCTTAACGTCTGCCTATCTCCTCTGCCAGCTGGCTTCTCCGCCTTCAGATAGGATACGTAAACTTCTTGAGCATCTTCCACCTTTGGGCGGTCTAGTATTGCAATTACTCTTCCAATAGGATCCTGTGTCTCTGGTGTAGCTGACTCTTGCCATGTCTGGGCGAATGATTTCTCCTTATCTTTCTGTTCCATATTCGCCAATTTCTCCTTAGTCTCCGTCAGCTGGGCTTGGAGCATCTGAAACTGCTGTCTTATGTCCGCCATGCCATCTATCGCTGGATGAGATGGTCCCTCCATCTCTACTTCCGATCCAGAATCGTCACTGGGTAAACTTGGATACCCTTGAAAAGAAGCCACTGTATTTCCTGTAGCCACACTTGATCCACTCACAGGCAAATCCTTGCCTGTTAAAACTTCTCTGGCTACTCCATTCAACCAGGTTTTCACTTTACTCTTTTTCTGGAATACTTTCGGAGTCTCGGGCATCTAGATCTGGGTCCCAGGTTGTCCCACCTGCTGCCACCACTTTTGTATTAAATCTAGGTCCTGAGATTACTCTAATTAAAGTCTAATTATAGTCTCACTGACTCTATCTCTAGCCAAAACTCAAGGCTCTCAAACTCTAGCCAAAACTCAAGGCTCTGTATTCGTCCGTATAACACAAAGGTTAATCTATTACTAATTTATTCTATATACAGGTAAAATCAAACTGACCGTAATGGCCAGTCAGGGTCAACATTTAAATAGATAAGTTATATTACTAACATAGATAATAAGGATCGTGATAGCATAACAACAGAAAATACTACACACATATAGGCTTTGTTTGTATTTATAAACTATTGAAATCTAATCTAACAGTCTCCATATTCATTTATATATCTTGGTAGATATAGAACCCATTTATGATTTTGATTTTGAAACCATCTACTAAGGTACTGAATACTTGCCACAAACTCTTATTCTCAAGTCCCCATTTTTTGCAACCTGATGGTGAAACCTTTGATATTTCAAACATAGTCCTAAGGTGACAAATATATAGGAATTAGATATTATAACTTATTATTAACAATTTTCTAACATGGAATTCTGAAAATTTATTTATTCTTTCATTATTTTAGTCAAGTGTGAGTTTTTATTACTGTTCTAATACATTCCTTATAAACCACAAATCAGTTTTTAAATAAAAAATTTCTTTGGTAACTTTTAATCAACATTAAGCTTCTCATAAAGTGAAATTTTTTTCCAATATTCTTTTGTTATAAATTTCATTCTTCTTTTTCTTTTATTTAACACCAGTATCAAGTAAATAGTTTTTTGATCGATTTTTCATCAAACCATAGATAATATAATGATATTAACTTTTTAGTTGCACACATGTTTATTTTTTTATGTTTTAAAGTGAGATATTTAAAACTTGAAACTTCTGTACTCTACTCCTTTTCATTTTATTCAGAACAATTAACAAGAACTTGCTGCATTAAATCCAATTTATTTTTAGAAAAGACAATATTTTAAATCAAATTATTAATTAGGTTACAATAGAATGAACATACATCTCTGTATCAATTACAAGGAATTGATACAGAGGCATGCCAACAATGTCCATATTGCAGAGGTTCCTCCCTCCAATCTTCTCCCTCAAGGATCTCCAGGCTGTCTGCACCTCCTTCATATCCGTACCCTCCAAATACTACCAGGCTGTTGTCCAACACCTCCATTGTTAGATACCATCTCTCCCTGGTCAGCTTAGGACCAGTCCTCCAGGTGTTTGTAAACGGTGTGAGGATTTCTACAACATCTAGATAAGATCCACCCCTTCTTCCTCCAGCTGTCCATATTTCTCCATTAAACATGCTGCATGCCAGTCCATACCTAAACAAACAAATATTTAACAGAATATTCATATAATATGGTTTTAGAAAGTTTAGTTATAATTTTATGTTATTTTATATATATATGCTTTTTTCATAAATGCAATTTATCACAAAAGAACTAAGTTTTAGCCACAAACACAACTTTTGAATCCCCATTTCTTTGCAACCCAATTGTTTAAACTTTTGATTCTCAAAATTGGATAATTTTATCTTACAGAATTCATTATTTTAAATATTAATGGTCATTTGGTTGCAAAGATATATGAATTAGAAATTGAGAGTTTGTGGCAAAAAATCAATTCCTTTAATAGCAATAAAAAGGTTTTTTATTTAGAAAGCACCAGAAAAAGAGTATAAGTATGAAATAAAAAAAATTTCAATGATTAATTTATTATTATTATTATTATCAAGATTATGAATAGTTGATAATATTAGATTTGAATATTTAAATTCATTAAATCCACTTGTATATTATTGTATATTATTGTATATTCATAGTATGTATTTGTGAGAAGTATTTTCAAACTTATTCGTCAATTTAAGAATGACACCATTAATATATGAACAAATTTTTAAAAATATAAAATAGAACATATCTAAATGTTTCAGTCTTCAGATATATTTTAGAAAGATTACCTTTTAGTTGGCATTGATGGAAGCTCTGCAATGAATCCCTCTTCAATACTGTAGACTTCAACAAGAGATAACATGGTACCATCATATCCTCCAATCAGCATCACTTGACTCTCACTAGAATATAAAATGTTAAGAAATATAAAAAGAATTAAATAATGCTGACAGTTTTATTTTTGATGATATTATCTATGATTCTGTTCATTTGTGCCAACTTTTGATGTAAGATATCTTTAAATATGAACAGTTTGTTCTTTTAAAAAGGGGAATTTTGCAAAGTTGAACAATGTTTATAATAAAAATATAAGTAGATACATCTTACTAGATTTATTTTTGAAAACATGGTGGAAAATATTTGACAACAGCATATATTCTGTATAAGAATTAATCTTATTTCATTATTATTGATTAATTATATGTGTGCACTTGCCATGATTAATAGGTATAAATAAAGTGTATACCCGATAGGAACAGCACAGTGACCAGATCTTGCAGATGTTAATTCATAGTTTTGAAGCTTCCAGGAGGATCCATCAAACACCTCCACAGTAGCAGTTTTCCTAGTAAACAAATATATAATTTCAACTGACACAGGTGAAGGGGTTTGACTGAAGTATTCCAGTTTGGGAGAATGTTTATATAATAATTCAATATTTTAATTTAGAAACATCCATTTTCTTAATAGCAAAGAAAGCTAGATGATCAATAAAGAACAAAAAGGTTTATAAAACAAATAAGAATAACCATAGAACATACCCCTGTGGAGTATCTCCTCCTGCAGCAAGTATCTTGTCTCCTAATGTAGTCAGGGTAAAGTCTGATCTAGCCACATTCATACTTTCAAACTCTATCCAGTCCATTCCCTCATTCTTGAAGCAGTTTCTAAACAAAAATATTCAATTTCAACTTTTATTTTGTGAATTTTTATCTTTTTTAGTACATATAACATATATTCTATATTTAATTATTGTTTGATTTATTAGTTTTCACTAGTTCACTATATTCTACCTGTGGACTTCTATAGGTATAGGTTTGCAACATTTAGGAGTTTAACACAGTATATTTACATTACAATGTGTTTGAATCCCCTCTCCCTCCATCACTATTTTATTTTGTATTGTATGTATTTATAAATTTAAAAAAATTTAATTGTAATTTTAAATATTATGTGAACAATACTGACTGATATCAAGTATAAAAATAGTTTTGATTAGTTACTTTTTAGGCATTGCTGTAGCTCTTAAAAAAACTAGCAGAATACTAAAATGTTAAAATGCTCCAATCCTTAGTTCTTTAAGTGTAAAAAACATAAAGAAAGGTTTATTGCATCAAAGAATAATAGTTGCATTTAAAATGAATTGAGTCTTTACTACAAACTCTGATTTTCCAATCTTTCAAACTATGAATTCTGTTATATCAAATAGTCTAAGTTTAAAATATCATAGTTCACAACATCATGTTGCAAAGTTTTAAGGATTATAAAATTGTGGCAAAGACTCAGTTTCTATGAAAGGTAACAGTAAAATAACTAATTTATGCACTTATTGTAGCGGGAAAATGATCGGTTGATCTTTCCCCCCTAAACCCCTAAACCTATTCTTAGTGCAGAGCAAGAGCAAACATTGGTGGTAACAGCCCAATCTTGTGCCGAGATGGCCCGCTCCCGCCAATTTGTGACCCCTCAGGGACGAAAAACAGAGACAATTGTGGTCCCTGGGCGAACGTATATCATGGAATTCTCTACCGGGTTCCAAACTGCGTCCAACTCAGAGATAAAATGTCAGGGTACAGACATCTTGATCGACGGGTCAATCCAGAAGGGAATTGTCACACATATGGAGTACGTCATTTTCATAGGGATCTGCGGTGGAAAATTACTGCAGTACAACATGGAGCATGGGTTGCAAGATCTGGGGTCAGAGTCTGCAAGTCTTGTAAGAAGACTGAGTCTGATGAGCAGCGGAGAACAGCACAGCTATTAATGGATCTCATGGGAGACTCACAGTCAATGCCAATGAACAATAGGAGGGCTCCGCCCCCAGAAGTAAGGTACACCTCAAGGAGTGGGAACAAGGAGGAGAAGGTGGAACTGGATCCGTCTCTGATCGCTGAAAAGATCAGGGAGGCATGTAGCGGGAAAATGATCGGTTGATCTTTCCTGCGATCAGACTATAAGAATTATAACGGTTTTAGTTTTGTTTACGTGATAATTCAAACAAGCCAAACAGATCTAAATATAACCCAAGCAACGCCATTCGTTATTTCGGAGCAGCAGAGTCGGCCCGATCAGCCAGGAGAGCTAGGGTTAAGATCTAGGCAAGGGTGGAGCGAAGCCAGGGGAAAAGGAGTTAGTTGGAAATCAACCCTTTCGATGAGAGGTGGAAAAAGAACCAGAGCATCCATCCTCTACTGATTATTATTCATTTTCATCGATCGTATAGTATCTTTTAGTTTATTCATATTTGTGTAAATAATGACAATAAATTGTAAAACCGTCTCGTTGAATATTCGATATTTTGAGTTGTTGCATTGAATTTTTGGCATATACAATATTATGTCTAGTTATTCTTTATCAAAAGAACTAGATTACTCGCCACAAACTTAAATTTTCTAATCCCTATATCTTTGAATCTGATGGTGTAAACCATTGACATTTTAAACTTACAACAATTTCATCTAAAAGTATTCATAGTAATAAAAATGTCTGATGTCAACAACATCAGGTTGCAAAGGTATTAGATAAAAAAATTAGAAGGTGTTAAGTTACTTTTTTTACAGTGATTATTTCTAAAATATAAAACCTAAATGTTCAAGAATTTCCAATATAAAATGTCTAAATTATCATACTTAATTATCTGTTTTAATCTTTGAATATGGATTAATCATTACGTATTTATTGTTATTAAACTTTATGTATCAACTCCTAAGTTGCATACCACCAACACCAGCATCTTCTCCCCCCCCGCAGTAAACAATCTGTCCATTCAGAACTGCAGCTCCTAGGATATATTAACATAATTAACTGAATAAAAATACACCTTTATTAAAACCAATATATTATACAAAATATGTAATTTTCCTATGTTCTTATAGTTAGAAAATCAATTATATTTTGTTGCATTAATCATAGGAATTCCGTATTGTAAGATAAATTAATCTGTAATTCTTTGATAAATTTAAATTGTGTATTTAAATTTGATTTTCTTGTTGTAAACTACATTATATTATTTATACTTGTTTTTAATATTATTCGCATTCTTAGCTCAAGATATATTCTTTACAAAAGTATGTTTACCTAGTCTATATAGAACACCAATATTTTCTATTGCCACATCACAGGGATATGATTCAGTTTTACCACCTATATAACTATAATTTTAATATGATTCATTAATGTTTCTGTCTAGCTGAAATATTTAAGTAAATATTCAAAACACATTATTTGCGAACATAAAAACTTACATATTATGATTATATTTTATCATATATTACAGTTAATGTAAAAATGTAATTTAAACTAAAATTAAAATTAAAATTAGATTTTTTAATTTAAAAGTTGAAGGTTTCCACTGAAAATAAGTCAATGGTGAGTTTCTTTATATTAATCATAATATTTGTTAAACAATTTTAATTCAATCATAATAATCTAATTTATATAATTGAAAATAAAACAATGTTAAATGATAATGTTTAAAATAACATTAAATGAACAAATATCTTGTGTTCTACAGAAGTGTATATTTTTGTTTCTTTATTGAATAAGAATAAAATAATAAAAACTTACCATAGCTACCTCCTAGAAGTACAGCAGTTGTTTCTGCAGAAACAGATCCCTACAATAAATACCAATATAAACATAATGACAATTTAAACCTAGCTTATAATTACAAATATGAAAATAGAAAGAAAGCTGTAAGGTTAATTATTGAGTTAAATCGTTTTCACATTTTCATTAAATTAAGCAAACTGTTTTGCCTATAAATAGGATAGGGTTTGAATTGATATAAAAACTAACCCTGCTACAGGAGGCCAGATATCCAGCAAAAAGAATAGATACAATCGAAAGAATCATACCTGAAAGAAACAAATGTTGTTTAGTAAAATGATTTATCAATGTTTTCTTAATTGCTTAAACTGAATTATAATTTGCATTGAAAACTGTTTAAACTAAATTGATAATGAATATTTTACCTTATATTTTTTTCTGAGTTTAGCAGTAAAGTTTTAAACTTTAAAAAGCACTAATAAATTCATAAACTTATTTTTTCTTTTATACTGTTCAAACCTGAGATAAAGCTTGTAAGTAAACATGGACTTTATACTCAGGATTCCAGAAACACACAAAACATCATTATTTAAAAAGTGTACAAAGTACTATGTACAGAGAGCAACAAACAGTCGTACAATGTAAAGATTACACACTATAAAAAAGACAGAAGGCATGGTACATTCCAGTTCATTTCATGTACCGGGCCGAATTTCTACTGGCCAAGGCAAGCCGTACTGTACAAATAAAGACAATATTAGGCAAAACGGGACTGTACACCAAATGATCCCTTTCTAGTAAAGTTTATGTGAAGGAGAAACTCAAATATATGGGACATTACTTGTACGATTGTTTTACCTCGTAGATCCTCTTCTTGCTCTGAATTTACGCAAACTTTGATAACAAATTTATCAAATTCATATTAAAAATTTTAACCAATTTTTTTTCTCAAAGGCTTTTTTAAAGTATTTAAAAAAATATAAGTGTACAGCCTAAAGTGTACAGAGTACAGCGTGCAGAGTACAGTATAGAGTACAGTGTACAGAGTACAGCGTGCAGAGTACAGTATAGAGTACAGTGTACAGAGTACAGCGTGCAGAGTACAGTTTACAGAGTACAGCCTAGCATATAGACTACAGCGCAAGGAGTACAGCGCACAGAGTACTGTGTACAGAGCTTACACTGTAAAGTACAGCGTTCAGTGTACAGCGTACAGTGTACTGCATACAGTGTATAGCATACAAGGTACAGCGTAGAGTACACAGTGTACCAGCGAACAGTGTACAGCGTAGAATGTACAGCGCTCAGTGTACAGTGTACAATGTACAGTGTACAGCGTAAAGTGTACAGCGTAAAGTATACAGCGTACAGTGTACAGCGTAGAATGTAGAATGTACAGCGCTCAGTGTACAGTGTACAATGTACAGTGTACAGCGTAAAGTGTACAGCGTAAAGTATACAGCGTACAGTGTACAGCGTAGAATGTACAGCGTCAGCGTACAGTGTGCATCTGTACATTGTACTCTGTTCATTGTACTCTGTGTATTGTAATCTTTACATTGTACTCTGTACATTGTACTCTTTACAGTCCAGTGCAGTACAGTACAATACTATATAGTACAGTTCAGTACAGTACAGTACAGTACAGTTCAATACAGTACAGTACAGTACAATACTGTACAGTATAGTATAGTTTTGTAAAGTACAATACAGTACAGTATTGTAAAGTTCAGTACAGGACGGTGCAGCAAAGTACAGTTCAGAAAAACCCATGATGGTACAGATATATGTATAAGAGTAAGCTGCTTTTAGTAAAGGGGAGGGGGGGTTGATAGAATTGTGCACAGTTATTTTATAATTTATTATAATTTATTGCATTGGTGCTTTTATTCATGTATTCAAGGTTCTATTTAAGCAAATTGACGTCAATTCTTTTCTCAAGGTACAAAAGATAAGCGTTCTTTATTAACATTATAAAACTTTTAATTCAAATACATTTTTATTTTCACTTTTTGAAATTATCTTCAATTTTTAAAATTGAAATTTCTTGTGCTTGAGGAATCTGGAAATAAATTGTTCAAAAAAGTATAATAGTAAACCGAGGATAGAAACTATGTAATATTGAACCAAGGATATTAAAAAACATTAAATATTAAACCAAGGATATTTAGAAACTGTAAAATATTGAACCAGAAATATTTAGAAACTGTAAAATATTAAATCAATGATATTAAAAGCATTAAAATATTCAATCACGAATATTTTGAAAATGTAAAATATTGAACCAAGGATATTTAGGAACTATAAAATATTGAACCAAGAATATTTAGAAACTGTAAAAAATTGAATCAAGGATATTTAGAAACTGTGAAATATTGAATCAAGGATATTTAGAAACTGTAAAATATTGAACCAAGGATATTTAGAAACTGTAAAATATTGAATCAAGGATATTTAGATACTGTAAAATATTGAACCAAGGATATTTAGAAACTGTAAAATATTAAACCAAGGATATTTAGAAACTGTAAAATATTGAATCAAGGATATTTAGACATTGTAAAATATTAAATCAAGGATATTTAGAAACTGTAAAATATTAAACCAAGGATATTTAAAAACTGTAAAATATTAAACCAAGGATATTTAAAAACTGTAAAATATTGAACAAAGGATATCTATAATCCTTCCTGACTGTTCTATCTGTCAGTTTATTCCTACCTGTACCATTAAACCTAAATATAGTTAGTTGGAGATATACTCTGAATGCGAATGTTTGTGACGTGTTAATCATTGATCGGTAGAGAAATAAACGTTTTTAGAGTTTTAGCATCTTTACATGATTATCCTAATTCTACAAATTATATCATTAAATTGAAATAAAAAATGTTTAAATGGAAAACTATTTAGTGATTTCAGAACGTTTTTCTATTTTACTCATAAGAAAATTTTTCTTTATCACGAAGATATGAAACCGCGAAAATTGCGTTTTTATTTCAAAACTTATTTTTGTTTAAACCATTTTATTTTAATTTCAAATCTCTGTTTTAAAAGAAAGTAATCATTTAAATAGAAATTATTTCCGTCTTTCATTTTTGAGTAGGCCTGATAAATTCACTCAGTTTAAACCAAATAGATTATCAATACAATAGGTGGCAACAAAGAAATGGATCAATTATACACGACGTCACAAGTGTCAAATATAACAAGAAAAACGAAATTTGCTCACATTAGTTGACATGTTTTCCAAGATTAACTAAAAAAGTGAAAAACAGAACAATTAAGCACACAAAATTTCACTAATTTCACTGTAAGATAAGCACTTTATTATCAAGTTTATTAATAATTTAGTCGGACACATGTTGACACTTGTAACGTAAGAATACAGCTGTACTGAGAGTGTACAAATTCTACGTTGCCATCTATTGTACTTGATAATCTATTTGGTTTTAACATACACATACAAACACATACAAACACATAAAAACACATACAAACACATACAAACACATACAAACACATACAAACACATACAAACACATATAAACACATACAAACATACCCAACACAAACAAACACATACAAACACATACAAATACATACCCAACACAAACAAACACATACAAATACATACAAACACATACAAACACATAAAAACACATACAAACACATACAAATACATACAAACGCATACAAACACATACAAACACATACAAACACATACAAACACACTCAAACACATACAAACACATTCAAACACAACAAAAAATAAAAGTTAATGCTCATTAGATCATGTCACAATTAGTATTATATTTTTATTAAACTCACACATGTGCAGAAACACAAACATACAAACAAACAAAAAATCAAACAATATTAAAACACACAATTAAACAATGTTAATACACACTCACACAATGTTAACACATACTCACACAATGTTAATACATACTCAAACAATGTTAACACATACTCACACAATGTTAACACATACTCACACAATGTTAACACATACTCACACAATGTTAACACATGCTCACACAATGTTAACACATGCTCACACAACATTAACACACAATGCTAATACATACACACTCTATGTTAACACAATCACACAATGTTTCCATACACTAATCAACATTTATTATTAACAGAAATTGTGCCTTTCAATGAAAATTTAAAACCTACAATTTTATTAGTATTTTAATTTGGAGACGGTACTTCATTTGAATAAGAAATATTTGTCTGATGTACAATTACCGCGTATACAATAACCTATTCTGAATATTTCTTATACAAATGGAGTACCCGTCTGCAAAGCATGTATAATCATATGGTAGGGTGGTCCGCGTCAGTTGTATCTCCTTCCTATTTCATACTACTTGACCCAAACCCCTTCTCCCTTCTCTCCCATCCCTCCCACCCCTCCTCTGTTCCCCAAAACCTTAACTACATCGTAGAAACCTAGATAATTCCTAGGTTGCAAAGTTGACCGCTTACTCCACAGACGTGACCGCCAGAATCCCACCCCCTAATAAGCCGACCTTACACCCCCTTTACAAGCCCCTCCCTCTCCCTCCCCCCACGGAATAAAACTTTGTTTTACACACACTTTTAAATTTGAATCATTCTTAGTAAACTCTGTGCTCTCTTATATTCATTAAGAATCTATTTATACTCACAGTGAAAAAGTTTATACAATTTTTAGCTTTTTAGTTTGTCTATAATTAATTTTAAGATTTTTGTAAATTGCAATATTTTTTAAGTGATGGGAAACAAAAAAATGTTTAGCAAAAGTAAAATTATTAGAATTTGTAATTTAACAGTTTATTAGCAATGCAACTTCTTTAAATCAAAAAAAGTTTAAAAATTTGTTTAAATCAAATGTGTAAACAGATTCAGACCCGTTTTGAAATCGATTTTTGCCACAATCTAAAATATTCTAATCTCTTTACCTTTCATATTTCAAACTAAGATTATTTCTAAGTTCTATGACGTATTGGATTGAACTGCTGGTACGAATTTATGACATTGCAACTTGAATTTTCACAAGTCGGGGTCGGATCATGTAGTGAGAGGCATTCGGTTTCTTCTATTTTAAATCATACGCGTTTTGGTCTATGTTTTAACAATCTTTAAACTTATGGATTTTTTGCTTTATACTTTTTATTCAAAACGTATATACCGGCAAAAAAGTATACATGGAAAAAAGGCTAAAAAATTATGGTAAAAAGTCACAGCTTTCTAGAATATTGACAGAACCGTTAAATCCATGTGCAGTATGAGAAACGCAAATTAATTCTGCTGCATATAAGAAATTTAAAACTTTTTCTCTTTCTCTTTACTTTAATGTGGAATTTTTGAATTATTTGGAAGTTTTTAGAAAAAATATGTCAAACATAAATATTTTCAGACAAATATGGATAATTTTGAACTATTTGCTTGGATAGGATTTGCGAGTTTACTTTTAGCACTCGC